GTTGAAGATTAGGCCAAGAAGATGCCAGAGGACAGCCGCGGGGCCTGGGCTGCGGCGTCGAAATTCACCCTGCGGCAGCAGGTTAGGACTTCGGGGTCTTTTAGAGGCAGTCCCGCCCTGAACTCGAGGGTTGCGAGGAGTCGGGAACAGCTTGTGTAGGGAGTGTGGTGGGCTGGGTTGACTGAGGAGACAAGTGACACTCACAAATGTGTAAGAAAGAACTTGATATCAAGAAGTAATTGTATATCAGGAAAACATCCCAGTCAAGTCCAACCCAAGTCCACAAGTCCGATACTTGTCCATAAGTCCCTCCTCATGCAGTGACAAGCAGTGATGCAGAATGCGGGGGCAGAGTCCTGTGGATCCAGTGGCGGGGGCTCTGGCTGCCAACAGGATCCGCCAGCAGGAAGGTGAAGGCAGAGAGGAGGGGAAGGTTCCCAGGACCCTCCTTATGAGAAGGCCATGCCCACAGGAGCCCCCATCAGGCTGTGACCTGACGGGGCCGGGTGAATGCCACCCCCTCACTTTTATACATCTTCACGTTGGCATGAAATGATGTAACCACCACAGGGAGACAACAAGCTGAAACCCACTTGTGGAGACTCTAAATGCATGCGACTGTACGTGCTTCCCAGACCCCACCACCGTGGAGCCAATTACTACGCGTAATGACCCTGTACCCACACCCACTGCTGTCTGGTCGATCCCTACCCGGAGCGACCCCCTGGAGGGTTTCTGAGACTGTACATCTTTGCAGGGGCGGACAGCCTCATCCTTCTTCCTCAGAGGGGCTGGTGGGTGTGCGCTGCTGGCCCACGGTGCCTCGAAGGCCCCCTTGCCCTTGTGAGTGGTCTAGTCCAGAGTGCAAGCTCCACTATCCCTGGGGGCTGTGCTCCCGTGCCGCCTGTCCCTGGTAGGATTGGGTCATCTTTGCCCCGGAAGGTACTATCATATTGAGAGACCCCAGGAAATCACAGTGACCGACAGGCCAGCCCAGGCCCGGACAAGGACACACATCCCCACCACAAGTCTCGCCTTCCTCGGTCTGCCACGGATAGGACGGGAACCACCTTTATTTATGACGGTTCCAGGTGGGCAGGCCTCTGGAGGCCTCTGTCTGGGGCGAGGCGGGACTCAGCTCACACCGGAGGTAGCTGTGGGGCTCTTCCC